CTCTGCCCCCATTATTGTTGCCTGATCTAGTCCTCAAAGGCAAAAAGGGGCATTGGAAGTAATGGCACAGCCAAAGGGATAGAAATGGCCACTCTGTGTATATCCTATTCTTTTATTGCATGTGCAACACTCATGGAGTTAAGAACAATTACCAGTGACACAAATCATTTAAAACAAGAGTGAGATTCTGTGTGCTGTTATTAAGCTTGGCATATGGACATATTTATTGGAAAGAATAAATGTCTCTTCAGGCACTTATTTCTGCCCTGTATTTGCTCTGCTTTCCCCAACATTTTGGGGAGGTGACAGTGATTGCTTCTCCTAGGATTCATGCAGCAAGTGGGTTTCAAATATTAAAAATTACACATCAGTTGCTGACTATACAATTTAGGTTATTTTTTTCCCAACCCCCACTGCCCAAATTATTGAGTTTGAGCTTTGGTAGAAAAGGGCATTTGATAGTATTTTATAGAAAATAAAAATAGTGATCGCTCCATAATGGGTCTCCTCTTTTCCCGTGTTAACATAAATAATAGCAAGTATGATTTCCATCTATGGTGATATATACATGTATTTTTAACTGTCTCTTCTTTGGAGAAGAACAGTTGACATCATTGTTTACACATAGGAAAAGGGGAGGAGAATGAACGGGAAAGAATCCATGCAAGGTTGTTCTTGCCAAAACTTGCAGAAAGCTAGTTGGCATGGCTGGTTTGTATGTCAACCTGCCCTTACAGCTGCTTCTCTTCCACTGTACTTTTGTGCAATTTATTTTCATCAACATCCAGTTTTTGGTTCCTACTTTCTTTCTCTTGTCATGCAAAGATTGGCTTTATCAAGTGGCTTCTTAGGAAATGAAGGAGTCCCAGGACTTGGGAATAGGGCTGCTTACAATTTGGCTAAAGAATGAAGTACACAGTAGAAAAGATGGACAATTGTCTCAGTGGAGGGATATAAGACATGGAGCCCCGGGGGAGGATCACCAATGGGAATGGTGATTTTTAATCTGTTCACAGATAATGCAGAGATCAAGATGGGGAGAAGGGTGACCAACTTTTTAGATGGTGCCCATTGATGGTGGGGGGAAGGGATTACAGAGAGCTTTCCAAGCATGTTTCCAAACTGAATGGATGAGCAATAAAAATGTAGATGTGGGTTAGGATAGAACATCTTTACAGATGCATGATAGTGATCAGTTGGAAAAAGGGCTGCAGTGTAGATACCCAAGGAAAACACTGACCTGACATTTGGCAACTGTGAAAAAAAGATAATATCATAGCACAGTTCATTAAGAAAGGGACTGAAAAGAAAAAAAGTCATTTTATAGTGGCTTTAAACAAATCTATAGAGGAATGACATTTGAAATATTCATTCTGTTTGTTGCATCTCCTCGCCCACCCACTCCAGGCAAAAAAAATGCAAAATCAGGAAAGATTTTGAAAAATAACAACCAAAATAATAAGGAGCAACTTCTCTATGACACAAGGTTATAACATTTAAGATTCTGTAGTTAGTGGAAATGCGAACATGACTGAAGTTTATGATATTATAAATATGATAGCAAGCAAATGCAAAGATAAGGTTTTATTGTTTTCAAAGTACTAGAAGTTTCAGTCATCCAGTGAAACTGGATTCAAGAGAGACAACAACAAATAATTCTTCATCTGGTTGGCTACAGGTAAAATAGGATGCTGGTGGACTTTATACAGCTTTGTTATGTTCTTATAGCTTCCTTGGATGGTTCGGGTTAGGGTGAAATTAGTTGCCAACAGTTCCATCTGACTTGTAGTCAGGTTAACTTGAGGAAGGGGATTTATTTATTGTTTCCAGTGCCAGACATGGAACCATAATGGGTAGACTTACACCTCCCCCACATCCTGATAGATAGATGGATAGATAGAAAGATACTGTAGATAGATACAGATAGATGGGGGTGTCTCTCTTTGTGTATGCATGCATTTTTCCCATCAAGAGTTTTCTATAGATCAAGAAGGCCTAAGATGTAATAGTCACAAATGTAGTCTTGAAGCAGCCCTGAAAAAATCAGTAGAAATTAAATGGGTCTGTACGTGCACTGCGTATGTATGTAAGGCATTTACAGTCTCCACCTCTGAAAGCGGATTCAAGCGGAACTCTTCAGCTGAGATCAGCTTAATTTTGGCTAATGGCAAACCCATGGAAAAATTCCAAGACTTGAAAGTAGTATGAAAGAGGCATTGTTGTCTAAATCCCTGCTATGGGATTGTTTGAAGAACAGTGAAAATGTGGGATGTTAATTTTATAAATAAAACAAACAATTTGTTTATTCAGTCATCTTTCATGAAACACGATTTGTGGGTTTTAAAGATGTATATAGGCAAAAGTGAACAAAAGAAAAATGTGCATGTTATTCTGCCACTTTCTACTAGTTTCAAATGTTTGTAGAATTCCTTATATTGTCCCAGGGAATACTTATGAATTAACACTTTGCGGAGCACTATCCCACATTTCCTCTATTCCTGCATTGGAGGGTTTTTTTATGATGATGGAGACATGTTATTAACATATTTAAAAAGGCTCTGCCATAAAGCAGTTTGGAACATATTGATTTTTAGACGGGAAATGGTTTAGTTGCTAGTATACCTGTAACATCAACACTTTCTTCTGAATAAATCTTGCCAAAGAGATTCTGATTTCCAAGCAACAGAATCATGCTTGGAAAAGAGTTACTTTCTGTTCAGAAGATGAGATGCCAAAGACCCTGACAAACAGGATCTGTACTTGTTGTATCTTGAATGTAACCTTTGGTTACTGCTTTTAGGAAACGGTTGTGCAATTGTGGTCCAGCAAAGTACAAATTCTTTTTTGTCTGACAGAGGTAATCAACCTCCAGCTAAATAGTGCTCATGGTCTGTAATTTTGGATATAATGAGCTTATTACAAATATAATATTTAATTCCACTTGCTTTTTTTAAAACTGCAGCAAATTTGAATGTTAAAATTAGCATTAAAATGCCCAAAATTTACAACTTCCAAATCTCTGGTTTCTTTTGCTTGCTAAGGAAAACTACTGAGATTAGAACATGTGGCAGATATGTGCAAATATGCCACCTTTCAGTTATTGCAATTTCCAGCACTCTTTCATCATTGTTCATGTAAGCTGGGGCTACAGGGAGTAACGACCAACCAATGCTTAGAAGATCATAGATGCTTCATTATTGACCTATGTTGTCCACCTGGAAATTGGAGACGTACATACTGGACTGGACTTGGCCTTATGAGACAAGTGTACCAATCTCCATTCACTACTTCTCAGGTTGTCAGATTAAAAATAGGGCTGCTGAGCTCAGTGAAGAAATGAACTAAAGAAAACACTTTGAAGAAAGGCAAACATTGGGGGCAATTGATCATACAAATATTATGGAATTAAGAAAGTGGGAGGATTCCCTCAAAAAACAAAACACTTCATAATTCTCACTTGTTCTGGCACTTCTAGTCTGATGGGGGGAGGGGCAGAAATTTCCTTGTTGATGTCTGCCTGCGTAGTTCACCACTTCTAAATCTGGCTATGGGATTTTAACATCCTAAACAAACCTGATTCCACCACCCACTGCTTGGAATTTTGGGCCATCCTAAACTGAGCAACTCCATAGGAAATTAGAGCAATTGGGAAGCCAATTTTCCTCGTGTAAATTATGTGTTTCATGTCTGTACAGTGTACTGAGATATACGTAATGTGATTGGTTTGGTTCTGGCTTACTCTGCTGTGTGAACCCAAGCCATTATAATTTGTAAACCACTGGTGGTGAAAACAGGCCTGTTAAGGAGAGCTTCTAATAGTTAGAGCTTATGGTTGGGAGACACCTATGTTAGCATAATTCTGGCAATGGGAGACATTGCTGTATAATTTTTATATGTTTTATGAGGTATCCTGCCAGATCCATGGGAATCTGGTAGTATAAAAATAAGGTAAAAAATAAATACTGTCAATGCATAAAGAAAATCAGGCCTGTGAGTTCTGGATGAAAATTCATAGTTCAGCCTTGCAAATAAGTCCACAAAAGCAGCTGCCTGACAAATATTTGCTAACTTTCTATCTGTACAAATTCATGCCTGGAACTAATTCATGTTCCACCCAATAAACCAGGCATGTGCCTTCATTACGAACAAGCCAGAGTTACAAGCTTGCTCATAGGCATCTTTGTTTTTAATTTTGTTGGAGGAGCACCTTTTGGTTAATTGGTTACTCAAGAAAGGTATTGGATGGAGAAGACCAGGAAGCTTTTCCAGTGGTTCTCAAACTTGGCACTGGGCATAATAAATTCCACTTTTTCCTCTTGAGCATGCTCCACTAATTAATTGTTCTTGGTGTTTTTAACAGCGATCAAGTTTGGAAAAATGGAAACTAAGTTGTATAGTGCTGGGAGCTGTCATCATTCACATCTTTAAATTCTTCAGGAGCAAGTGTTTTTAATTCTTGGAAAGGATTATCAGTGTTCTCCAGTGAAAATGTGGAAGCCGTGTTCTAATAGTCTGTTATGGGTTAACACCAAGTGTTCTTCAAGAATCAGCATACATTGAGCCAATAAATTATTGCTTGTGTTTTTCTAAGGTGTCATGTCATATGCATTTCTTCTTATCATCCTTCTTTCCTGAGATATCCTTAAATATCTGGTCCTTCAAAGCAGGTGAAGTTATATAATCTTTTCTTTGTGTATCATATTGTACAAAGTCTGTTCTGTATCCTAGTGGAACATCCAGTTCTTGAGACCTAAATCGCCTGTCGCCCACTGTTTTCACAGAGGAAGGCAATCACCTGAAATTTGCATTACTAAGCAAGTTCTTGAAATAGGGTGGATTGTGATTTTTTTTTTTTCATTTCTAATACAAGTTTTTCTCTCTTTTTATTTTCTTGTTTTGCTGCAGGTTATGGGCATGCAGCTCCTGGAACTGATGCTGGCAAAGTGTTCTGCATGTTCTATGCAATCCTTGGTATCCCCCTCACATTGGTTATGTTCCAGAGTCTTGGGGAGCGCATGAACATTCTTGTTCGGATGGTGCTAAAGAAAATAAAGCAGTGCCTGGGTATGAGGCAGACAACAGTCTCCATGAAAAATATGGTTGTGGTTGGTTTTCTCTCATGTATGGGGACATTAGGTATTGGGGCAGCTGCCTTTTCCTATTTTGAAGGCTGGACTTTCTTCCATGCCTTTTACTACTGCTTCATAACATTGACAACCATTGGATTTGGAGACTTTGTTGCCCTGCAGAAACATGAAGCTTTGCAGAAGAAGCCCCCCTATGTAGCATTCAGCTTTATGTACATCCTAGTGGGCTTGACTGTGATTGGGGCTTTTCTTAACTTAGTTGTCTTTAGATTTTTGATCATGAACTCAGAAGATGAGCGTCGGGATGAAGAAGAGAAGGCATCTTTAAGAAGAGCCAGAAATTACATCAACTTGAAACCCAGGGAAGATAGCAGGAATACAAACGAGATCTTGCTCCCTGTAGAAGATAGGACCAGTCAGATGAACCTCATTCCATTGATCCATGATGATGCTGAGCGGCAGAGGGGCAAATCCTTGGTTTCTACCACGAAAGTCCCTTCCTTTTGTACATGTCTATGTTACAGGCCACGGCTGAGCAGAAGCCCAGATCCTCCCCACCCAGAACCCTTCAACTGTCATACTAATCTTGTTTATTATAACTCAATTTCTTACAAAATCATGGAAGTCTCGCTGGGTGGTAAGGATCACACTGGCTTGTCTTCCCCTGGCAGTACTTTGTCATCTGATAGTCCCAGTTGCCGAGGGCACTCCAGAGTCCGGAGAAAGTCTATCTGAAAACATGCATGCTCTTTGGAACTTTTTTGTTTTTGTTTTAATTTTTACTCTGACCTGTGTCCTGCTACTGAACATGTGTTTTGATGATAAATTGTGAATTGAATTGTCAGATAGTTGTGGAGTGCCCTCCTTTCTTTCTTCTCCCCTTTTCTTTGCAGGCACATTCTGAAATGGCTACCCATGTGTATTGCATTCCTGCCAAGCCCGTGAAATACTGCCTGAGCAATGCCTTTTGAAAACTAATGCTGAATAATAGTTCTCCCACCAGCATATGTCACAACGTTTGCATTAGAAGCCAAGTGTTCAAGGGATTTAAATAATAGAACCCCACAATGCATCTGAGTTGCCATATCATCTGTAGAGAGTTCTAATTATTCCTTTGGGGGAAATATACAGATAATACCCAGTTGTATCAAGACAGCCTGTATGCTCAAGGATTCTTTGCTGAAGGAATCTATAGACCTACACCCTAACAGCAACAATGAGCAGATGTCAGGCTTGTGGGCTTTACTGAACTCCAGTATTCAATAGAGCAAAGGATGAACACAAAGTCTGGGAGCATCTTCAAGTCTAACCAACTTTAATAAGGCATAAGCTTTGGGGCATAATAAAGTTGGTTAGTTCTGAAGGTATTATCAGACTTTTATTGCCATAGACAAACATGGTTCTTTCCACCCCCATCCCACCTTTTGATCTCCATTTGGGAAGAAAGGATTCTTTCTAGAAGCGTATCATAAGAATCAAACATAAACAGAGTTCATTGTCCTTCCCCACAAAAATCCGCTCCTGATTATCGCAAGTCCTAATTTCTGCAGGTAAAATTCAGGCTACGAGTATTGCTAATGTTAAAGAATTGGGAACTGAAAATCCTTATAGCTCTAGTTCAAATCACTCAATTCTAGTAGCAAAGCCAGATCTGCCTTGTGGCTACAGGTGGTCCTCATTTAGTGACTGTTCACAGTTACGACAGTGATGAAAAAGTAACTTTACAACCAATCCTCCCATGTACAACCTTCACAGGTCTGTAAAGCAAAGGAAAGCTGAAGTAAAATCATAAGCACAGTCACAATTTCACTTAGTGACTGCTTTGCTTAATAACCAAGTTGCTGGTCCCAACTGTGGTTGCTAAACAAGGACTACCTGTACTTGTGCCCCACTGGGGCCCCTTTGTAATAATTACTGTGGGGAAGTTCTGCTTTCTCATCACATCTGTCTTTGTTCTTCTACTGTAATGGTGCACATGTTTAAACATCAAAGTAATTTGCGGAGAGGTTGATAGGAGATCCTTCTTTCACATTTTAATTGATCTGCCATTTGGTGTTCTGGATGTGAAATGCTATTCACGGTTGAAGGTGGGTGGGGGTGGGGGTGGGCTCGCTTTAAGGGTGGTGTCAGGAACCAGAGTATCTAGACTATACTCAGCTTGTAGGAGGGGAGGGAAAGAGATGGCTTTTTCCAGCCAATCAGCTTCTCCGTAACCTCTATCATCTGGAAATGGGGAGGACTAATGGTGTCTCAATCAAATTTATTTATTTACTTGTATTTACAAGTGCTTTTAGGCCACTGAAAACAGCCGTACAGCTGTCCAAACAGGCATGGATGATGATCTATAATGGTCTCATCACTCAGGCTACGCATCTCACTTCATTTTGGCCATATAAATGATGTCTTTAGAAATGTGTTTGCATACACAGTGGTAGGAAATAAAATTGTACAGTGATATCAGTTTGAGGACTGCAGGCAGTATTCAAGAGGAGTGGGAAGAAAAGTGCTATAAACAGGCTGTGTGGCTTTTTTAAGCCATAAAGATGTTGGTAACACAGCAGCAGTTTATACAGCCAACTTTCATATATAGACAGGATCCAATCAGGTCTCAAGCCGTTCTCTTCATTATTTATATTCCAAGTCTTCAGTGTTGCAAGGATCTAACAACTGCCTTTCTCCCAGTATAAAACTGGACGAAGCACCTAAGGTGGCATTGCCCCTTGAGGCCCCTGAGTTTACATTTGCTCACTCTTTCTTCAGTTCCTCTCTGCAATCCTTAGTGACCTCTGCAAGCAAGCAATCCTTGCTAACCATCAGAACACCTCTCCTGGTCCTCTGCAAATCCCAGTCAGTGTTACAAAAATTTCCTCGTTTTCCCTTCCTGCTTAGAAGAGCAAATGGAGGTTTTCCTCAACCATTCCTGCTGGGAATTGCAGCACTCACATATTTGAGGGGCAACAGATTGGGGAATACTGGAGCGGCCCGTTGTGATTTGCTACTTCTGTTATTGCTACCTCCTCCCAAGCAACTTTTCTGTTGAACTTTCAGTGTGCTTTGATTGATATACACAAATATTTGCTTGTCAAAAAAAATAACTCCCATCTCTCGGCCTTAAAAATGTATCCAAAATATGGGGACCCTCCATCATAGAAAACCCTAAGCTACATTTTCTCATTGGGCAGCACCCACATACCCTTTGGATTCAGGCCAGTTCAGATACTTTGTGTGTCCTTCTGCATTGATAGAACATGTTCTGTGATTTATGCTGACTCTTCCCAGTCTTCTACATCTTTCCTACAGTTGGGAAGCTCACCTTCATCCCTAGGCATTAGAAGATTGGCCTCCATTGTCTGAAACTGGGAATGTTAACTACAGCACTGGGAGCAAAAATGGCACCTTTTTCATTTAGATAATTAAAATAGGCGTTATACAGAAAAAGCGGAGAGCAGCGGTAATGTCTTAACACTGAGTTCCAGTCTTAAGCGTAATGACTAATTTGGCACAATGGTTGATCACCTTTCAATCTAGTTTCTTGTACAGTGAGGACAGGAGCTCCCACTCCCTAGGAATTCAGTAGGGCTTGCTCATAAAGAGGCTTCTGCAAGCAGTGAGCAGGGTCCTAAATTGCTTCAAACTAAGTTGAGTAATTATTGCAAATCGGGCTTAGGATGATGTGTGGACCTCGTTATTTGTGACTTATTCAACAGCCTCTGGTTAACAGTGGCTTAGCGTGACACATGAACCTTGCTAGTACATGAGAAGTTGCTGTTTCTTCAACAAGGTCAATTTGCCCGTCTAGTCCAGAATAACCTAGCTAGCCTATCTGGTGATGAGGGAAATTTCTAGACGCCTTTTATCCGTGATCTTTTTTAGCTAGAGTCTTACGTGTACCCTTTTACATGCAAAGCAGGTGCTTTGCTGTTGAGGAAACTTTCTTATTTCTTTCACAAAAAAATGACTCTATTTATTGCTTGGCACTCACTTATGAGTTGCTGAACAACGTGGGCCTGTGAAGCTATGATATGAAGTCTCCTAATGATTGCTGAAAGGCATGTATGATGAGCATACTTTTCCTTTTTAAAAATCCCAATTTTGTGGCATGTTGTGCGTGTATGATATGTGTTTCTGCAAACACACAGTCTTGCTAATGTGGAAGCTGAAAATCACATTATGTGGTAGTTGGAAGCAGAGCCTCTATGCTTGCCTGTAGGCGATTTAATCTCAGGATGTACAGTGAACACATGATTTGATTCTGGGCTTGATCTGGCATTTTAGAAAAAAATCCCCTTTCCTTGAATCAGAGGTTATCTGCTTTGACTTTGGGCCTGATCTGAAACCAGGTTTGTGTCTCCCATCAATTAGCATGAAGGAAACCATAAATGGCTGCATCTTTTTCAACAGATGCATTTACTGTGAAGAAACAGTAAGTATATCTGAAGGAGCAAAGCTGCCCCTTTAAATTCCTTGTTTTTTTGTTTTTTTTAATGACTGCAATATTATTTTTGGAAATGGTTTAACAGCACTTGCAGGTTACTCCTGTGAGTATAAATCTTACCCAAATTTAGAGTGGTGCTAATTTGATAGTGGGGAGGGAGAAAGTGTTAATCTAACCGATTGTTTAATGGATGATGTTAATATAGTCTCACTGTAGAGTTTAAGGCAAGGAACCTGCAAATTCTAACAATAGAAGGAGGTTTTTGTTATTTATTTTAACTTTTCTATGCTATACGCACCAGATGCTGAACAAGTGGTTAAGGCACCAGGCTAGAGAGCAGGAGACAGTGAGTTCTAGTCCTGCCTTAGGCATGAAAGCCGGGTGGGTGACTGTGGGCCAGTCACTCTCTCAGCCCAACTCACCTCACAGGGTTGTTGTTGTGGGGAAAAAAAGAGGAGGAAGGAGTATTAGATATGTTCACTGTCTTGAGGTATTTATAAAAATAATAAAGGCGGCATAAAAAATCTAAAATAATAATAATAATAACGACAACGACAACCCACCTAAAGCAATTCAAAGATTAATCTATATTAAAACATGTAAACTACCAAGCCTAAATAATGTGGGCGCAGCAGCAGCATGGAACATCAAATATCCAGGGAATAAAAAATGATTTCAGCAAATATCAAAATTGAAGCAAAGTTTAGTACTGGTTTAAATGAGTTTGCCTGGAAGACTCTGTTCAAACAAATGTTCTAATTTGGGTAGGCTTCCTAAAAAGAGAAAACCACTCAGATCCATTTTGTTATTACATGTGGAGGGTGCCTAAACTTTTCCAGTGGATCCTTATGTCCATTCAGAAGGACCACCTTCATGAGGAAAGCTATTCCATATTCTTCCTTCAAATATTTCTCTACTTGCTCTAAGTAAAGAACTATTTCAAATTACTGCGTGACTTCCTAGTCACTTTATTCCAGTCTACAAGGGTCCCCAAAATGGGAAAGTGCTTTGTTTCAAACCTGCCTCCAAACCATCATGCTGAACATTTCAGGCCAGCCGTGGTTCTGTAGAACTGAAACTCAGAATGGGGGTGAGTATTCAAGGCTGGTGCCTATTGCTCAGTCTCGCCCCTCAAAAGGGCCACCAAGGCAAATTCCTCCAACCCAATCTTCCCTTCCTATCTCCCTTTCAATTGCTGATCCCCTCAACTTTTTCTCTCCACTGCCCAAACCATTCTGCCTGGACCAAAAGATCCTCATTTTATTCTGTGCACAGACAAAACAGGTGTTTCCATTCAGGCACAGGCTGTTCCTTACCCAGAACTTTTTGGACATCCCTATTCCTGCCTTTCTCTCTTTTCCCATCATGATGCTTTACAGGAAAAACAAAAACAAAAAAACAAAATTAAC